TCAAGCGGTCACTAAGATTACTAGTAGGTTGGACACTAAATACTGTAGCTTAACTTTGGAAGGAATGCCAGGTCTATTCACGGTACGAGAAAACCACAGCTAATTAAAGTATTAGAGCAAATCACATCAGTGGTAATGTCGACGCCTGATACCCTTATTTATGAGGTTAGTCAGGCTGCTTGCACTCCAGACACTTTACGGCGTTCCGTGTCAACTGTATCTGTGGAAGAGAAAACTGTCAATCGCATAATTCCAAAAAAGGTGGTTGAAGTCAAAAGGTAAGTCTCCCTCTGTATTCGTCTCCATGAAAAGTAGACACACTGTGACAGTAGCAGGTGCCAGCAGCAACACTCGGTGATAAGGCTGTCGAAGGCCCCCTCATTCGAGGAATTCTTAGAAGTATGCGATGTGTAGTAAGTGAGATAAAATAATAAAAGAGAAAAGTAAAAGGAGGGTCTAGCAAAACTCTGCCTTACTTGTGGCCTCCTGCCTTACAGAGAATAAAATTAGGAAAGTTTCAGATTCAAAATTTAGTTCCACAAAAGTGAGGGGAGGGAAGTGAGGGAAAAATCAAAATCACATTTTTGAAGATCATGAAAAATGGCTATTTCGTAGATTTCTCTTCTTCCTCTTTTTCAAAAAATTATGGTAGGAGTACTACTGTATTCACTGATATGCGTCGACAAAACGATGATAATGATATTAATTTATTCATTAAGCCAACATTGCAAATACCCCAATGCATATTTACAGTATCGTATTTCCGAAATGAATTATTAATCGCCATCAGTCTTCTTTAAAGAAAATTATTTTTTAAATTATTATAATTGAACTTTTTGTCTGCAAGGTACCATGTGGCCAAGAGGTGGCAGTTTTCGAGAGGAGATGGTGATGCTCGACACAGGCCGAGAATTTGAATCTACCAGTGCGATAGCCAATCCCTCCATGATTCGTTCGTTCATTTTTTCGGTACTGGTTCATGCCAAGAAGTTAAAACATTCATATCAGCTTGCTTTTAAGCAATCCTCAGAAGAGGGAACTATATCAGTTTTCCAAATCGGTAGAGATACTAGTCGGCACGTGCCACACATCAGTTTGACTAATTCCGTGTGCTTCGACCTCTCAAACAAACAGAATGTATCACTGCGAACACGCTAGAAAATAAAGCTCAATGAGCCCCGCATTTTGCTCGCCTTGCCAACAATGGTAGACGTTTCGAACTACTGTGTGGTATCCATGAGCCCAAAAAACGATCACGCGGAAGGAAGTGACGCACACGGAACAGACGGTGAGTGCCAACCGCAGGTTACAGACTAGGACCGAGACCGTGGATAACTGTATTCAACATGATGTGAGCGTCCCAATAACGTCACTACACGGGACATTAGTACCGTCGGACAGTTTTTGGCATTTTTGATAAAACAAACAGACGAAGTGGAATCCTGATTTACAGGGTATCATTGAATTCAAGTGATTTTGGTGATAGTAAATAGCAGTTTCATAGGGCTTTTATATGTGGGATCCCTAAGACACGGTGAGCAGTGAATGTGGAGAATGTAAGACCGAAACTGATGGCATGGTTATCGGCTACATCATTCGAGAATGTTTCGAATATGAATCAGTGATGAACTAGTAGCCTTTTGAAACATCCAAATATTTGAATGAGGTATAACAAATGATAATGTTAACTGCAGATGAACATTTTTTAGATATTACTGGTTTTATGCATAAAACAAAATAATAAAATTATCCAAAAAGCAAGGATATTTTCGGGATTCTCTCTTCCTAAGCTGCTCCCATTGTACTGCGGACAAGGAGAATTAAAAAAAGACATCAAAAACTAACCCGTCATCATTGCGACCGTTGTTTGCCTTAACGAAAATTGTGTGATGAATTTTTTCATGTCCAAGATGCATGCTTCTTCGCCTTGCTGCATGAAATCCTCCAGTTCACTGGGGTCATCAAGAGTGGTGATTTCGCGCATCGGCGTTCGCTGTGAACGAATTGGCCGACAGCTGGACGATGAAGAACTGTCAAAATTGTATTGTCCAAAAAGGCATGTTGGTGGTACCGATGTTGTGCCACCGTTTGCCACCACTGCCGAGGTTGTTGTATCGGTTGCTGCTGCAGCGACGATTGAAGGTGTCGAAGTACCACCGCCACCATTGGTAGTTGTTGATGCAAGAGGAATGGAATTTTGGAGTGAACATCGATCCGGTGGACTGGTCGGAGCAGATGGCGATGACGAGGCGTTTATCGTCACTGGCACAGGAGCCTGAAAACAAAAGTTAAGGTCGAAAACTGCCTTCTTATTTGCTCTTCTAAAAGAGGCAGAACTCGAAAATATTCCGAGAGAAGCAAATGCCAACAGCAACTACTCGCTAGCAAGATTCCCTCATTTAAGGATTGTTTAAAAAGCAAGCTGATGACAGGTTTGACTTCCTGGCGTTTGCCAGTACCATTTTACCATTGAAATGAATGAAAGAATAAAAGACAACCGGAAATGACAGAGAAGATTGCGATTCTGGAGTTAACCTAGAGTTGGGATGCAAAAATTTCAAGATTCAAGAGCTTTTTGTTTCACTTCATACTTTTTCTATTGTCATACTTCACATCATGGTTTCTTACTGTGATCCAGGTTGCTGGCAACCCACTGTTTGAATGTGGCGTTGGGAAAGTCCGCACTCCGGAACTGTTTGTTTTTCTCTTGGATAAATAAAACTTGTCGCTATAAAATAAACGAAAAAACATGGCACCCAGAGGAAAAGCGAATCAGGCTTTGGACCTCATCGCGTTCTGGATTTCCGAATCCAGCTGATTTACTCCATCGTGTCGGTTCCACGACTCCACAGCTTTAAGACCTTACTGGGTCATCGTTTATGGCCTTAGGCTCAAATCCAGGCTTATAATCTACGGTCTATTGTGATAAGTAACAAATCTGAATTTCGGGTGTTTGCTACATTTCTTTAGCACAGTGATCCCATTAGCACTTTTTAAAATTAATCTTTGAGAAGTGTAATTACAATGGAAACTAATTTAAACTATTGGAGAAAGCAGATGAGTGGTAACGAATCCGAGGTGAGTATTGTTTCCGCTGAAACCCGAAAACACTACGGAAAGAGCCAGGGGTAAGTTGTGTAAATCACATCCACCTCAGTGCATTTCACCGTTCCCCTCCTCTTCCTTCTCCCTCCCCTTTCCTCAAAACCAGTTTTCACATTAAAAGTACAAGGACAGAAACGGTGAACCTTCAAAAATATATTGCTTCTTACAAAATCGGACATCATTCCTACAGAAAGAGGTTGACAAATGAATCTTGAATTACGAATCAAACTTCTTCCTCCCTATACCATCCTTTTCTTTGCTCCTTCCCCCTGACCTCTTCTTCCTCACCCGTGCTCGGTCTTTGTTCCTCCAGTTATCTTCAAAACTAGACTTCCAGCACTCAAAAAAGCATTCTATGCAAAAATGTCCCACTGTCTCACAGCAAAAAATTCCCATTGCATATTCCATATTTGCAAGTAAAAACTCTAAAAATAGCATTCCTCCCTTTTACGTCAGCAGACCGTACACTTTATACACTTTTTTATCCAATTATTGTCATCACCATTTTGTAACAGCCTTGGATAAGAAAAGGGTAGAAAAGAGGGAAAAACTGCAGTGAAGCGAATTACTGTCAACAGCTGCAGTTCACAGTGTGGCTCTTCAAGTACGCATCTAGTAACTTTTCGAGTTGCTTTGACCAGTGCTGCTTTGGCTACCGGTCAACCTGTTGGTAATCCTGATATTTGTTCCAACGCCCGAAGCATAGGCGGATCCGATGAGTTTTTGTCCCCTCCCCTTCTAGCGAAACAGGCACCAACAATGCAAAAACCCGATCTAAAACTAAAACTAAAGCGAACTTCAGCATAAAATAACTCTAACCTGAAGCAACTCTAAGTAGCTGTGTTACAACTCTATTTCCAATTTCTGCATAGTTCCAAGGTGGGAAGGGACTTGCCACCTCCTTCCAGGAGTCCGTCCTGGATCCGCCAATGACCCGAAGAGATTACGAGGTTAACGTTTCTTACGGCTGAAGTAAATCGCTGAGTTTTGGTAGAGTTTCCGTTTTAAAATATTGTGTGAGGGTGCGAGTTTTGCATGTACGTGTGCATGTGTGCCTGTGTATGTCCAAGACTGCCTCTATATTGAGTATCACCACTCTGTTTTGAACCTGTCATTTTTAGATTATGATCCCACTGACTGGAAAATGGGACGAACTTCCCAAAAACTATGGAAATTTCAAACTACTTTGGAAAAGCTATCAACATTTTAAAAAATTTTGTGCGATCTCAGGAAATTTTTATGATGCCTTAGAAAGCTTTGAAAACTTCAAAAAAAAATTTAGAAAAATATGAAAATTAAAAAAAAAACTTTGAAAAGACTAAGAAAACTTCAAAAATTCAGGAAAAACTATTACTGACGTTAATACATCAATAACTTATGAAATCTCAATTTCATTTTGATTTTTTTTGCAAAAAATCATGATATGCAGGATTCTGGAAAATTTTTTTACACTTTCCAATTCATTTACCTGTTGCAAACACATAGAAAAAAGACTTTTTTTTTCCTGCGACTATTTTTTGTTGCGAAATGAAATTTCCATTTAGTCTAATTAATGTCGAGCAGATGGCGGCGACGTGACACACACTGCCTGGTGAGTAAAGCATATGTTATTCATTTTCCTAACTCACTCTTTCAAATAATTTTTTTTCATGTCCTCAACGGATCTTGACAAAGTCCTTAAAGTACAAAACTGCATACGGTAAATTAAACTTTTGCAAAAATGCATAGAATCACCGAGAACTAATATCATCATCATCATCACCCTAACGCCATCATCATCATCATTAACAACATTATTTTCGAGTATTTGCAAATGAAATACGCATGCTTCATGTTTAAAATCAAAACCCCTTTCGCATTTATATTCTGCAAAATGCAAACAGCCTCAGAAAGTAGCCAGTTAGTAGAAAACGCCAACAATAAACCACCTACTGCCAAAAAGGGTGCTTGCTTTTGATACTTATTACTATTCAATGGCTTCTTCTTTGGAAGTTCTTTACAAGTAAACTAATGGTGAGCTTGACTCCCTGGCTATAAGCCCATACCAATTGACCAGCGAAACGAATGAACGAATCGTAAATGGATTGTTTGTCCTAAAGGCGGGATCGAACCCTTGGTCTTCTGCATGAGGGTAAAATCAATTGCCAGAAAAAATGAATTATTTTTCAAAACGAAATCAAAACATCCTATCTATTTCAATTTATAAGAGGGACAAAGATATTTGAAAGGTAAACCAAGTGTAGAACGCACTCTGCTTTATTTTTCCTGGTGCCTCAATGCCAAGAAAAAAAAGTAACGATGAAATAAAAGCTAAGGACCGGAGTATCAGCAAGCTTTAATTAGGGACAGGTGAATAGGATATAAATATGTTGTTGATGTATTCATATGTGTATTCATGTATACTATTAACCTTTTGTTATGGTTTTGTGCTGAATTAGGAAAGCGAAAAAATGCCTAAAAATTGTCCTTAGAAATTTGGGACGCAATCCGAAAAGGAATATTGAGTATTTCCGTGAATCAACACGCTAGCTATGAGAAAAATTTTTCATAAACTTATAAAGCCCATAGCATCATATAACTCTCTGAGTGTTTTCAGGTGAATGAATCTATTGTGAGTGCAGAAGCTTGTAGATATCATAGTTTTGGTGATATTTTAATTGTAGTTTCACCGACTACTGTATTTTAGCCGAATGTATATTTTAAACAAAAAAACGCTCGAAGATCTGTGTTTTTAAGCGATTTTCCAATCAACAAACCCGCCGTCTTAGCGAAGGACAATAATCCTGCAGAAATAATAAAGGGAGATTTTTGAAGACAAAAACCAGGAGGGAAATATTACGAGTAAAACACAGATCTAAGGCAAGTAGTTCTGCTTGACCTTTTCTGTATTAACATCATCAACATGGGATAAGCACACTGGATGCTAAAGCGATCTCACATTTTTGGCATGTATGGATCGAGAGGGAATCGAACTTGGGATCGTTTT